CTCTCTCTCTCTCTCTCTCTCTCTCTCTCTCTCTCTCTCTCTCTCTCATGTGCACACACCACACACACACAGAGGGAAAAAAGATTAGAGGGTTGGGGAAGAAGATAATGGGGCTGAGTATGATCAAAATATATTATATACATATATGAAACCATCAACATTTTTTCCTTAATTTATCCTAATCCTTATTTTAAGGTAAGATAAAAATAGTGATGTCAATAATGTTTCCTGGAGACAGTGGTAGATAACCATAAAGGGGATATTTATCATAAAAGGGGATATACCCTAAAAATAAAGGGGAGTTTTCCAGAAAGACAAAGGAAAAAGAATCTTGGCAGAGGGGACAATGAGAGACAACAGGGTGTAAAACACCCTGGCGCTGGAACAGAGCTCCCTTTCAAAGGCAATAGTCATAAAGGTAATAGTAAGATCGCATGTGGTTCAAAGAGTAAGGCTGGCGTGTTAAGTTACCATGTGAGTGAACATCATCGGTTACCTTGCAGTAGACTGGCAATTCTTTTAGAGAGGACAACATATTGTGCTGGGCATGGGGGCTCATACTTATAACCCAGCACGTGGCAGGCTGTGGTAGGAAGACTACCTTGACTATAAGGCCCCTTGGGTTACAGAGAAAAACATTGTCTCAAAACCACAAAGAAACAAAACAAGGAAAGAAAGCAGGGAACCATTTTTCTTGAGGAGATGGGATAACGTCGACCAGTTATCCTCATCTGTAACCACTCTTTCACCATTCTTTCAGGTTTTAATCCATCTGCCTATTTTATAGAAACAGGTCTGATTTATACAATGGGGACAGGAGAGGAAACTACAAAGATTTTCCCTTCAAGAAGCCTAGTGGAAGGAGACTTACAAACATCTCAGTGGGACTCCAAGTCCTTAATGAGCACTGTGGACACCACCTAACAGGAGCTTTTTCCTCCCTAGAGTAACTTACCTAGCTCCGCCAAGCCCTATCACTCTTCTTCTAATGTTACTTCAATTTTCTAAATTTATTATAATCTTTCTGCCATATGCTTGCTTAACACCTGACTCTGACTTTAATATAAAGACCAGATGTATCTAATTTTCCTGTTTAATCTTTAAACCCAGCAGATCAGAAGCAAGACAGGTGCTTAGTAAGCACCTGATGATTGGGAAGAAAATAATTCCAGTTTTTATAACTTAACTCTCCTAAAAAATGTAGGCTTTGCCTTTTAAGCGCATTTATTTCCCTGAGTCCTAGCCCTTAAGTGCTTTTACTTCTGATCTAATACAGTTCCATTAGCAGCAAGCTGAGAGTCTGGCAATTACATTTACAGTGATAGCTAGCACTATAAGGAATCTTAGTCGGCATTATGTCAGGCCATTCTTAAAGCGCTTTATACATTTTATATGTATTTACTATTTATTTAGTCCTTCCAACAATCCCATGTGTATGTACTGTCTGTCTCATTTGCCAGAGGAAGCAAGCATTAAAGAAAATCCCCAAAGTCACATAGCTAGTAGTGGTAGAATGGTATGACTCCAGAATGAATCCTTGTCCTCTCATGTGTTTTAGATGAACTAGGCACTGTTTTGGCTTTCTACTTATTTCCTGTGTTGGGAACTATTTACTTGTTACACATGCTCAATTTTCTTTTGGCTTTTGTTGTTTTGTTTTGAGACAGGGTCTCACTATGTAGACTGACTACCTATGCTTTCTAATTTAAAAGATTATGAAATGGATAAAAGTTGGTAACATAACTTTAAGGGCTAATTATTACTAAATGCTTAAGAAACATATCTCAGAAACCAATAGATTTGATGTATGGCTTACTTCTCACTCAGAACAAAGGTATCCAAAAGAAAAAGTAGGCAATAGTTTGTATAGCCTTAGTAGCTAAAGCACACATATAACCTGACAGAGCAATTCCAATCCTGTGGGACATAACACAGCCATACCTATAATCACCCTAAACAATAGGCCCAATAAACACAAATGTATCTACCACAACAGAACAATAATAGTGAAAATGGCCTACAACAACATAGATGAACCCTACAATTAGAATGTTAAAGATAAGCCCCACACACAAACAATTATGAAAATAAGAGAAATGAATCTATATATAATTAGGCAGAAGAGTGATTTCTTGTGATATGGGTGACATCTAAGGCTGATGGAGGGTTGGGAATATTCTGTTCCCTGAACTGGCTAACATATGCATTCAATTTTAGTGAAATCTTTTGTTTGTTTTTTGAGGCATGGTCTTTCTATTAAGTAGCTCAACTGCCCTGGAAGTTGCTATGTAGACCAGGCTGCCTTCAAACCTAGAGATCCACTTGCCTCTACCTCTGAAAGCTGGATTAAAGGGTAACATCCCTACTGACATCACCCTATCATATGCTAGCTAGTTTTGTGTCAAGTTGACACAAGTTAGAGTTATCTGAAAGAAGGGAAACTCAGTTGAGAAAAATGTCTCCCTAAGATCTGGCTGCAGGGATTTTTCTTAATTAGTGATTGATGGGAGGGCCCAGCCCATTGTGGGTGGTGCCATCCCTGGGCTGGTGGTTCTGGGTTCTGTAAGAAAGCAAGCTGAGTAAGCCATAAAGAGCAAACAAGTAAGCAGCCCCCTCCACGGCGTTTGCATCAGCTCCTGCCTCCAGGTTCCTGCCCTGTTTGAGTTCCTGTCCCGACTTTCTTCTATGAGCATTAACATGGGAAGTGTAAACCAAATAAACTCTTTCCAAGTTGCTTTGGTCATGGTGTTTTATTACAACAACAGTAATTCTATCTAGACCATCTGGCCGAGTTTGTAAATCTTATCAAATGTACACTTAGGACTTTTATTTCTTGTATATAGATTGTCTTTTAAAGTATGAAGTAAAAGTTGGTATTTTAAACTATATGGTCTACAATTTTTAACAAATTTTGAAATAACATGAAGGAAAACAACATTACTGTCATATTTGAATATTAATCCTGAAGCAGGAATATGTTAAAAATTCTCCTTGTAAAATGTCAGTTCTCACATGTATCCCAGAGACAGGCATGATTTTCTGACAAGAAAACTGAAGCTCAGAATTAATGTGCTGAAGAGAGAAAAAAAGTAATCAAACTCAATCTTAACTCTAAAGTATGTGTATGTATGTATGTGTGTGTGTGTGTGTGCGCGTGCATTCAAGTGTGCTTGTGGATGTGCATGCTGTTTGTTTTGGTGTCTCACTATGTCCAAGAATGGCTTCGAATTTGCAATCCTCCTGCTGAAAGCTACATTAATAGGAGTGTGCCACCATCATGCCCAGCCTACAGAAGAATCTTGATCACCTTGCTATATTAGATTTCATGGAGGGAAGAATTCATTTGTGTCAAGGCTAGAGAGATACCAGTTGCAAAGCCTACTGCACTTAAATGTTTACCTATATTACTATTACTTATATATCCTCCAAGTAGAGAAATGCAGTCATAGCAAGATGAACCTTGAGTAACTGTTTTCCACAATGACACATCCTTTAGATACAGCACATTTGTTCATGGCTGAGAAAATATGCTGAGTTTCTAAAAACCAGTCCTACTTACCTAACTGAATTCTGACCCTAAAACTTTTTACTTAGTGTTTAAGAAAATTCAGCATGCCAGAAACTATTAGTATAAGTAAATATTTCCTATGCTGTCAGTAGATTGTGCTGAGAACAAGCCAATGACTCACAGTCACATTACCAAGGAATTTTACAAATGGAAACAGAACAAGCGTTTCAGCAAGGTTTTAACACAATAAGACAAGGGAGTATCATTCCATAATCAGTTAAAGCATTTGACAATTTACCAACAGAAAATTTACCTCTTTGGAGGGGCTAGCGGGAGATGTGAATATTGTCATCCAATAGGACCATACAAACATAACAAAGAACAGATGGAAAGCCACAAGGTAAACAACGGTCTTTCCTGGTAAACAAAAACAAACAATAGTTCATTGAGTCCAGGTGAAAAGAAAAATGCATTACATTAAAACAGTACTTGGGTCATGAGATCTAATTTAATAAAAACTTTTATTTAAAATATCAAATACATAAACTTCCTTATTATTTAACATTAAGAAGATAGTAAGAAATACTCAATACTTGTATTTCAGAGTGTAAGGTTATAAAATAAAGTTTACTTATAAACCATAAGTTTATGGGTAAAGGCTACATTTGGTGAGTCTGGATTACATTCAGTTGCTGAGGATCTCAGATAAAAACACCTTTGAACACCTTCTGAGGTCTGCTGTAGTGTGTGTGTCACCACACCCTGTTGGGTTTGAATTCTTTTTTTTTTTTTTTTTTTTTTTTTTTTTTTTTTTTTTGGTTTTTCGAGACAGGGTTTCTCTTTATAGCCCTGGCTGTCCTAGAACTCACTCTGTAGACTAGGCTGGCCTCGAACTCAGAAATCCACCTGTCTCTGCCTCCCAAGTGCTGGGATTAAAGGTGTGCGCCACCACTGCCCGGCTGGGTTTGAATTCTTAAAAGACAGGTTTTTTGACAGGCTGGCCTTGAACTTACTATGTAGTCCATGGTGGCCTGGAATTCATGACTCTCCTACTTCTGCTTCTATGTGAGAATAGTTAAAGAGTGTTAGTGTAACACATGTGTGCCCACAACTGGACATTATTGAAACTTTAAGTTTTCCTTAAATGTTAATTTTTAATAACTTTTAAATTAGTTAAAAGGACCCATCACTATGAACATTAAACCAGGGAGAATTGGAAACAAAAAGTTAAAATGTTTTTTACTATCACCAAAAATAATGAAGAAATTTGAATAACTCAATTCCTGTCTGGGTTAGGAAGAATATTCTGAAATTTACTCTCTTGCTCAACATAGGAAACGAAAAAAGTTAGCCACTGTGAATTTCTGCTCTAATCTTTCCCAAGTAGATTAGTGTCACATTTGACAACTATCAACTCACTGATATGGTATTAACCTTGTGTTGTGTTCTGTAGTTCTTCTATTTGAAACAAGTAGGGTTGGCTTTCATAAGAAGTGAGAACCACTGACTAGGGCTGAACTTTTCTTGGTGTGAAATGTTCCATATATACACTCTAAAGATAAGTTTGAACTTCTACTCATTTTTAAAGTCAGATTAAATGTCATTTCTTCCACAAAAGTCCTCTCCCTTCCCAGAGTTTACTCTTCACAGGTCACTCTTCTGTAACTCACACTTGCCTAGACTTCAGTTATAGCACTTGTTTCAATAAAGTCAGGTGCTTAAAAATGACAAGTTCATAAACGCAAAACACCAATGAATCCTAACACCACTAGGGTCACTTCCTGGTCACATCAGGCTTGAACTCCATTTCCTATCGAGAGCCTCTTAGCATATGACATGCTTCCTTTCTAACCCTTATGAGTGTAAACAAGGAGGCTTAGAGAATTCCTATCTTACTTAATGTCACTTGTATGAAATCTGAAAGCCAGAATTGAAATTCACAACTGCTTGATAAAAATCTAAAGTCCTTTATTTATGCCTTCACTTCACCAAAATTGTATTTTCCTCCACTTTTCCAGCCAGCATTTAACTAGTCAGTTCTACTTCTGTATGAGTATCTGAATTCAAAATAGAACCCAAATCACGACTTCCTCTATATTTCAAATACTCTTTCTTCTCACTTTCACTAACATTGTTATTCACAGTAAAAACTGGGGCTTCAGCAAGCTGCATTTCTCTGTGCTGATCATCCAGCCAGGTCAAATCTCACAGTCTACCCAGTGGGCTCAAAAACCACTGCTTCATTGTGTTGCTCTTTGAGAATGCATTTGGGGCCTCCTCTGACTTTAGTGGTACTTCTCCAGCACCCCTGTATTCACTTCTGCTCACATCCAGCCAGCGTTCTTCATCTACACACGACTAGACAGCTGTAAGGCATACAATATCACCAAAGTCCTTTAAACTTAGCTACTGACAACCAAGGCTAACACAAACAGACTCTTCATCTGTTCATTTTTTTTTAAACAAAATTAACTATCTATTACAAAGTAACTTCAACTTTCAACATGACTAATATGTAGTGAAATTGGTGGTTACTCCAAAATCCTACAGAGAACTTTATACAGAAAGAGAACATCGATAACACAGACACTGAGAACTCTCAGGGGTGGTGGTGATTTGGAGCTGGTTATATTTTGCCCCTCCAAGTGACCACTTTTATTCAACTATATTGGAAAGAATCCAGTGCTTTTTTCTAGTGTGATCTCGGATCAACTCTGGTATGTCTCCAACAATTTGGTTAGAGTTGGAATGCTGTGATTTCAAGAACCTGAAGCAACAGCCTTTTCTAAACAATTTCAAAGATAAACTTGTTAGCCACATCTTGAACTGTTCTTTTAACATTTACTATTCCTTTAGGAAATTTCTACTCTCCATGCACACAAACAAAATGGTCTGCTTTCAGTGTAATAAAATTAAGCTCTTAGCACAATGCCTGGGATATAATTAACAGATGATAAGTAATAAACAGTAGGAGAAAATACTGGTTTTAACTAAATCCAAATTCATGTAATTTGTTTTGTTTTTTTCTTTGAGGGCGGTGGAGGGCTGTGGACTATTTAGAATCTTGGTCTTGTGTGTTTATTAGTAGCCCACCACTGAGCTGCCCTTCAGCGCTTCCCCTCACCTCCTCATTTTTTTAGAAACAGGGTTTCTCTGTGTATCCCTGGCTCTGGCTCTTCTGGAACTAGCCCTGTAGACCAGGCTGGTCTCCAACTCACAGAGATCCACATGTCTCTGTCTCCTGAGAGCTGGGATTAAAGGTGTGTGCCATCACAACCCTTCAGTTCTTGATTTGGGGGTGGTAAGGTCTTGGGTTGCTCCTAAACTTACTGTATAGACCAGGCTGGCTTGAAATTCACAAAGCTCTTAATCTTAGTCTCCCAAGTGCTGAGATTACAAGCATGTCCACCATGCCCTGCTTAATGACTATTAAAAGGTAAACTTCTAGTCACATATTGAAAGTGGGCTGGCAAGACGGCTCAGCAGGTAAAGACTAAACAGAATCTGGCCCACACAGCAAGATGAGAAGCAACTCCCAAAAGTTGTCCTCTGACCTACTCATGTGCATTCATACATACACACAATGTGAAAAAGGAAATATATAAAGTAAAATCTTTGCAAACAAATCAAATCTCTAAGAAAAATCTAAATCTAGAAATCAAAAAGTCTATATTCAAAAATCACCTGTAACTCAATGTTTCCTATAAGACAGTCTTTAATAAGGGGGAAAAAGAAAAAATATTCTTCAAGACATGGTTTTAAAAAAAAAAAACCTCAAGAATAATAATACAAATGACAACTTTGGAAAAATAATGTCAAGGCTGAGCAGATGGTATATGCCAATGACACCAGCATTTGGAGGTTGAGTATGTTTTGTCTGTAACTTTACCATTTGAAGGCAAAGGCAGGTAGATCTCAAATTCAAGATAGAAAGCAAGTCCTGGCAAGCCTGAACAATACAAAAGACCCTGCCTTAAAATATACAAAGCAAAACCTTCAGAAATTCTTTGCATTTTGTGTCTGTACTTTCAATATGCATAAAATAATTATGAGTTGAAGAAAGACAGGACTACTAAGACCGAATCTGTTTCTTCTATTACTGAAAATTAGACTTAAGAGCAACTTTAAATAATCAAGCATGATTATCTCTGGTAATAATAATAAATATGCCGGGCGGTGGTGGCGCACGCCTTTAATCCCAGCACTTGGGAGGCAGAGGCAGGTGGATTTCTGAGTTCGAGGCCAGCCTGGTCTACAGAGTGAGTTCCAGGACAGCCAGGGCTACACAGAGAAACCCTGTCTCGAAAAACAACAAAACAAAACAAAACAACAACAACAAAAGAATAAATATTAGGCTGAATGGAGCTGGTGTACACCTTTAATCCTAGCACTGAGGAAGCAGAGGCAGGCAGATCTATAAATTCTAGAACAGCCAGACCCACACAGAGAAACATTGTTTTGAAAAACCAAAAATAAAATAAGTCAACGTTAATACGTGTTAACTGTTCAGCTGTTTTACAATCTTCTGGGCTTTTGCATATTAAAATCTAAGTTTATTTTTAAAAGTTTACTTCAATGGAACTCCTAAAGTTTTCTTTAATGCTAGTTAAAGTCTTAGAAAAGATCTTTTCCTCTAGGTGTTATTTGACTGGTCATTATAAAATCTTTTATTTCCTTGATCTAATAATACAAATTTCAAGTCTGGTTATTTGATCAAGTATCTGTGGGTAATAATGTGCTATTTTAAACAAATATATGAACAATGGAACTACCTGTAGCATTTAGGCATTATGAAAGATCTCCCCTCAACCCAGTGATGACTGCTATTAGAACTGAAACAGAGAGAGTTCAGAGGAACACATATGGCAAACATGCATGAATTTACAAGAGTAGAGCACTAACTAGGAGCCTTACAAAACCATGGCCATGCTAATCATTCAGACACTGTGTACCTGGGAAGAAACCCAGAGTTCTCTCTTTTTTTAGTTACCTAAGAGTTAAGATACGTATTCCCTTTTAGGAAAACAAAAACACTTTTATTCACTACTAAATAAAAAGTACGTGGTTACAACTGAGAGTCTACAGTGTCTTACCTTTTTCTCCTGTTCTGGAAACAGTACCTAAAATAGAAGAAAAAAATTAAAATAAATACACTTTATGTGTGAAGTTTATTTCAGGTTGAATATTTACCTTAATTTCATTTTCACAAAACTTTAAAAACATTATCATTAACAGTATAACTACTTAAAATTTTTAGACCTCTTTAAATTTCATATGTGTTGACAGAGCTCTGTAGCACTTTCCTTATTCTTACAGCAAGAACAGGACTATTCTCTTTATTAAACTACAGTACACTTTACCAACCTCTTTCTGAAAACTGTATTCAAAATAAATTTCTCTTGAGCCCGGACAATGACTCAGTAAAGTAGTGGCTGCAAGTACACAGGGATGTGTGCTTAATCCCCAGCACCGAGTGCTAGAGGTGAGCACATGCAATCCTAATTCTGAGCATATAGCTACAGGCAGATCCCTGGGTGGGCAGCCAATCTAGCCTAATCAGTGGTAATTTGAATGGGGTGTAGGGTGGGGTGTGGAGTGGGGTGTGTGTGTGTAATAAGTAGACACAGCTAGACATGGTTGGACGGGAAGAAAAGACATGATATAAATAAAGGTGGAGGGCTAGAGGGATGGCTTGGTGGTTAAGAGTGTGGACTGCTCTTCCAGAGGTCCTGAGTTCAATTCCCAGCAAGCACATGGTGGCTCACAATCATCTGTAATGGGAGCTAATGCCCACTTCTGGTGTGTCTGAAGACAGCTACAGTGTACTCATATACATAAAATAAATAATTCTAAAAACAAACAAAAAACCCAAAGGTAAACAGTTTCTGAGAGAAGACATCCAAGAGTGACTTCTGACTCACACACTCATATACAAATTTCCTTTTAACTGACACACAGTGAGTGATCATACCTATTTAGGGAAAGAGTAAAATAATTCATGTATGGATGGCTCTAACAGATGGAAATGCCAGAAAGCCACAATTGGTCAAAATGCAGAGAATAACTAACCATGGTGTGCTCATTCCCAATGAAGACACAATATAACCCTACAGCTAAGGCTCAGAGCACATTCCAGAAGAGGGAGAAGAAAGATTGTTAGAGCTAGAGGACCAGATAAAATAACATACTCTTATAGTAAATCAGAGTTCACATCATCACTGCCAGTGACACACACAGCAGTCAAAAATCTACTGGGATAAGTGGATATGAGGCAGGCAAACACAAGTTATTTAGCCTAGGAGTGTATTTGGTTTGGGTTATGCACGCATGTTTTATAATAATGTACTTGCAGCCTAGTTCCTTCACTTGTACAGTCTATGTTCACACACTCCTTTCCTAAAAGTACACTTAGCAATCACTGACTCACCTTCCCCCCATCAGGCTAAACAAACCCCATCTCTGAACAACAGTATATATTTCCTCTCTCCTAGTTAACAACTGAACTTAGATTCTATTCAAATATATTCCTAATGTATCTAAGTAAGACTAACTGAAGAGCCAGTCTGGTCTGAACTGGTTTGGATGCATGCTCTGACCCCTACAAAAATCCACTACTTACTATCTTATGCTTATATAAGATTAGGTATGCATACAATTAAAATCTCAGATGTATTATGAAAAAGGACATACATAACAGAAAAATGATATGACCCATCACCAAAACAGAGAACACCCTCACCATGTCCCATAGCAATCAAATTACTCTTGAACCCCATAAACAGAAGCCTCAAGTAACTGGGTCCTTCAGTATTCAGCCATGTGGTCTAGTGTCAGTTCTGACAGTGTACCCTCTATAACAATCTGCACCATCACTTTTATTTCTCTTTGAATAAAATGATCTTGCTACTTTTGAAAATTAATGTGAGTCCAATTTCAAATGTTCAGGTAAGAGCCAATCCAAAATAGACCTGTAAGCATCTATCTAGAAAGACAGTTATCATCAGTGCATTCCCAGCCTTCTTCTAGCTAGGGAAATCACAACAGGGTTTAGCTACTTTAGGTATGTATTTCCGTATTTTTTTTTTCTTAAAAAAAAAAAAAAAGAGGGGGGCTCCTTTGCAGGCTGAAGATGGCTCAGAGGTTAGGAGCACTGGCTGCTCTTTTAAGGGTTCAGTTCCCACCAGCATCCACATGACAGCTCACAACCATCCGTACACCCTCCTGGCACTGCATGCATGTGGTGCATAAACATATATGCAGACAAAACATCCATACACAACATTTTTAAAGCCTCCTTGGCTGTGATTAGTTTTATACTGATCTTATGAATCAGTCTGGGAAAAGCAGATACCTTTATACTACTATGTTAGATTCCATGAATATGCTATCTCTATTTCAGATTTCTATCTCACCTGTATACTTGTTAGATTCATTCCTAAACTTCTGTTTTTGATGTTATTTGAAGAACTATTGAAGGTGGTGGTGCACACCTTTAATCCCAGCACTTGGGAGGCAGAGACAGGCGGATTTCTGAGTTCGAGGCCAGCCTGGTCTACAGAGTGAGTTCCAGGACAGCCAGGACTACACAGAGAAACACTGTCTCGAAAAAAAAAGAAGAAGAAGAAGAACTATTACTAGAAATACAAATTAGTTTCACTGACCTTCTATCTTATCTTGCTAAATTCACATTTTAGTTCTAGTGGCTTTTTTGAGAAGTCATTGGAATTTTTTTTAGTAAATGATAGTCTAGTATGTCAACAGGTCACACACATCGTTTTCTCTTGGTGATGAATTTCTACCATTTATGTATCTTTAAAAAATTATTTTGTGTATATGAGTGTATAGTTGCATTTTTGTCTATGGACCACATGCATGCCTCATGTCTTTGGAGGTCAGAAGTCTGAGCTGGAAGTATGGATGGTTGGCTGTACACATTCATGTGGGTGCTGTGGATTGAAACTGGCTCTGAAGAGCATCCAATAGTCTTTAAGTGCTTAACCATCTCACCAGCCTGTTATGTATGCCTTTTTTGTTACTGTTTGAGACAGAGTCTATCTAGTCCAGGCTGGACTATTCTGGAACTCACTGTGTAGATCAGGCTAGCTTGGAACTCAGAAATCTTCCTGCCTTTGCCTCCCAGGTGCTGGGATTAAAGGTCTGTAACATCATGCTTGGCCTGTGGTATGTACTTTTTTTTTTTTTAAATGATTTATATGAGTACACTGTAGCTGTCTTTAACACACCAGAAGAGGGCATCAGATCCCATTACAGATGCTTGTGAGCCACAGTGTGGTTGCTGGGAATTAAAGTCAGAACCTCTGAAAGAGCAGTCAGTGCTCTTAACCACTGAGCCATCTCTCCAGGCCGTGTATGCACCTTTAAAGATAAAATAGCTCAAGAGTCTACAATGACATTTTTAATTAAAATTGATGCCTATAGTTTTTGTTTTTCAGACAGGGTTCTCCAGTGGTCCAAGCTGACCTTGAACACTCTACCCAGCTGAGGATAAATACTGAAATTAGAAGTAAGCACTACCACATTCCATATATAGAGTCCTAAGACTCAAACCCAGGGTTTTATGCATGCTAGGCAAGCACTTTACACACTGATCTCAAATTGTTCCAAATTTAGCCAACAAAAGCCCTTACAAGGTCTTCACTTAACAGCCTTTACATTTTTTTAAAAATTTATTTTGTATATAAGCTTGTGCGCCAGGAGGTCGGAGGACAATTTGTAGGATTCAGTTCTCTCCTTCCAGAATGTGGGTCCTAGGGATTGAACGCAGATCAGGTTAGGAGCAAAGGGTCTTTACCTGCTGAACCATCCATCAGCCTAATAATTTTTTATTCTCTCCCACTCCCCAGCATTTGGGAGGCAGAGGTAGATCTCTATGAGTTTAAGGCCAGATTACTCTACATAGTTGAGTTCCAGGATAACCAAGACTATGCTGAAACCCTATCTCAAAACAAACAAACAAACAAACAAACAAATAACACAAACTTATGTTTTAAACTGTGTGTATGCATGTGTTTATATGGGTATGTATGTAGATGGCCTGCAAGCCTCGAAGATGGCACCAGTTCCTCTGGAGTAGTTACAGGCACCAGAGAGCTGCCGAACTTGATGCTAGGAACTAAACTCAAGTCTTCTGTATGCAGTATGCACTCTTAACCAGTGAGCCATTTCTCTAGTCCATAATTTTTAGATTTATTTTTATGTAACATAAGTGCTTGCCTGCGCTTATTTATATGTACCACATTCATGCCTTATACCTGAGGAGGCCAAAAGGCATTGGATCCCCTAGAACTAGAGTTATAGTTTTGAGCTACCATTTGGGTGACAAAAAATGTACTTAGGTCCTCCGCAAGAACAGCAAGTACTCTTAACTGCTGTACCATCTCTCCTTTGTTTTGACCTGGCATTTGTATTTGTTTTCTTCCTTGAGATTCTGGATTCTCAAGGACTCAAAGCATGATAATCAGAATGCCTTTCAATGTTCATCCAAGAATCTTAAGATAACAAGTCCAGTAATACTGCCACTGAGAACAAGATAAAACCTCTCCCTGTTGTGACCAGTGCAGGGGTGGCTGATTCAAGATTCAGCTTCACAAAAAACTCTCATGACTGTGGCTAAGGAAGACACTGCTAAAAAAAAAAAAAAAAAGCCGAGTAGTGGTGGCACACACCTTTAATCCCAGCACTTGGGAGGCAGAGGCAGGCGGATTTCTGAGTTTGAGGCCAGCCTGGTCTACAAAGTGAGTTCCAGGACAGCCAGGACTACTCAGAGAAACCCTGTCTCGAAAAACCAAAAAAAAAAAAAAAAAAAAAAAAAAAAGACACTACTGCTGAAGGTGTTAATGGACGTTAATATAAGTTAACTTAATAGTTATCAAAAAAGACTGATGAGATAAATTATCCATTAGCTAAAAGTGCTTGTTGCCAAGCCTAACTGAGTTCAATCACTGGATGCAACATGGTAAGAGACAACCAACTCTACCAAGTTGTTCTCTGACCTCTACATACATACATGCCTTAGTGTGCTTATGTGTATGTACGCATGCACACACTTGTACACGCACACACACACATACACACACATATATGAAGATAAATTATTCCT